GCTAAGCGAAACATTTATTAAGTGACTTTTCCCCCATTTTATGACTTTTCTTGCCACATTTGTTAAGTGAATCATTGACGGTCTTAAATTATTAACACGGTTGTTAACGGAATCTGCCTTCTTCACTGACCTTGCATGTCAGAAGGCTGCAAAAGGGGAGCCCCCAGGACACCGCAACCGTCATATATGTGAGTCCATTGCCAAGCGTCTGAATTTTGATCTCGTGAGCAATGGGGATGCTTCAGCGTGTGACAATTGGTCGCAAGTCACTTTTTTCAGTACCCATGTCTCACTTTGAACAGTCACTAAACGAACTGTCGTAAGTGCAGGATTTACCTATCATCCAGAATGTAGTTATGAAGAAGGAAAGGAGAAGAAACACAAGGAAAGGGTAGCAGTAAGAAAGGATAAAGCGGCAGCTGCAATTTCAATAGTAGTTAAAATCTTTCACTTGGGGTTATTGATTAAAGCAGTGTTTCTCAACCTTGGAAGCTTGAAGATGGGTGGACTTCAACTCCCAGAATCCCCCAGCCTTCTGGGAGTTGAAGTCCACCCATCTTCAAGCTTCCAAGGTTGAGAAACACTGGATTAAAGGGTGAAAGCTAATATCTCTACTGCAGAGATGGCTTCTAATAGCTGCGATACTTAAGAAAGAGAAGAGGAACAGAAAGTTCTCCTTCCTCCCTGTTTATCATTCTGTAGTGTGAAATTTCAGGGATAATATCAACGCTAAGACAAATTGCCTACACCATTGTCTCAGCCTGGATAAAAACAGTTTCTTTAATTATAGGCTTTGCCCAAAACATGTTACATTTTAAGTAGCACTGATGTCTCTCCACCAAACCCTCCCCTCGTGAAAGCACCAGGGGTGGGCTTCGAAAATTTTAGCAAGGGGTTCTCTGCCTGGTTGCTGGGTGGGCGTGGCCTAGTTGGCCTCCTGCACCATGGCGGGGGGAGGGGGCATTTTTGCCCTCCCTGGGCTCTGGAGGCTTTTCTCGAGCCTCCGGGAGTGCGAAAATGTCCTCTGCAGGCTCTGGAGGCTGGAAACGTTTCCGGTCTTCCTGAACTTCCAGTAGGCCCATTTTTCGCCCTCCCCGAGGGTCCGCACGTACCCTGCACTTACCTGCATCCAAAGTGGGCCACGTGGGGACTCCTGGGATGGGCAGGGGTGGGCGGGGCCAGCCAGGAATGGGATTTGGAGGTTCTCCAAAATGCACAGAATCTTAGGTAGAGGTTCTCCCAAACCCCTGCGAACCCCCAGCAGCCCACCCCTTGACAGCACCCATGATACATTCACACACCAGTGGTGGGTTCCTCCCGGTTCGGTCCGGTTCGGCTGAGCCGATAGCGGTGACGATATGACGTCACCAAACCGGTTCTCCCCCCCTCACCCTCCCACCCCCAACGTTATTCTTACCTTTTATTTGGTCCCACCCCCAATCTATTGCTGCCTCCTGAGTCCCAGCTGATGACTAGAGGGGAAAAAACTGTTTAAACTCTTGCCACGCTTCAAAGGGCCGTCCTACAGCTGATCAGTGTTAAAAGCAAACAAACGAGTCAGGTCATAAATTCGAGGACTGGTCGTAAGTGCGAGGACCTTCCAGAAATGACTCTGACCAGTTAGCCACGCCCACCTAGTCACATGACCTCCAAGCCACACCCACAAAATAAGCCACGCCCACAGAACCGGTAGTAAAAAAAAATTAGAACTCACCCCTGATTCACACACACATTCATCAGCGTACTACCATGTGGGCGAACCTAGTAAAAGCGTAATTCTGCACAAAGAGAAATTCAGCACAAAGGGACTTTATGTTAGTTTCCTGGAGCAAAGGTTAGCCTCCGGGAGGTTCAGATCTCCACAAGGCCTTCAGCTAAGCTGCAGCTCAATAAGAGTTTTCCACGTGAACTTTTAAGAGTCGACTCCCTACTTGTAAAAAGGTCACCAACTCAAGAGGAGGCCGAGTGGGAAACAATCGACTCGGGAAAGTATTAAGCAGCTCCTAAGATTCATTTTAAGGCTTGTTTTTCTAGTGTTCTTGTGGTACTGATTTACCATTTTAAGCTGGCTTTTAAAAAGTCTGTCCAAGAACAACAAACCATTGCTTTCTTTAAAGCATAAGAACCCGAGGGCTTGCAAAGGTTTTCCTCACTTTATTTTCTTAGCGATAGCCCTGCCCAAGATGGTCCAGACAAGAAGCACAAACAGGAGTGCTAACTTTATCTTTATTGTAAGTATAATATTAACAGATTCTTGCAAGACTGAATGTGCTTCTCCCTTCCTTCCTTTTACTCTCCAGAAAACTAGGGAGCGTCTTTTCTGAAATGTTTCCTTCCCTCCCCCCCACCCCTTCTGTGGTCTGAAACATCTTTTACTTACTCCTTGTCTAGTCTGCAGCTCTCCTTCCTGTCTCCCAAGGTCATTCGCACATAGCATTACTCTAACTGATCCCAAGAGGTAGATCAGGTGAGTCAGACAATTGACAAAAAAAAAAAAAGGTCACTATGACCAAGCAGAGCTTTTGCATCAAGATCTCCCCCGAAGTACACCACCCTACTTACTCAATGCAATATTTTGCTCATCCCTGTGTATTTTGGGAAATAGCCCTCCGGTCTTTCCCTAGCTTTGCAAGTCCTTCATCAATGCTGAGTCACAAGAGATCTCACTTAATGTACACACTGAATTACAGGCTGAGGCATTTTGGATGAAAACACAGAAAGGAAACGTGAGAAATCCGTAAACACTCAGGTCCGCGGGACAGAAAATGCTTGGGAAAACCCACAAAGTGGAAATAAAATTTAGAATACACTGGCAAAGCAACATGAGGTGCACCAAACACCTTTGCTGGAATCGAAACAAAGACCAGAGCTTTGTGTTTCAAACAGCAGGATCTTTGCTTGGAGTGGTGAAAGCAGGGTGCTAAGTGGATTAAACGGATGCTTATTGTTTAGATAATCTCGGTAATCTTTTTTTTTTTTTTTTAAAGGTGAATATGACAAGCTGGCAACTTGATTCCTCCCAGGCAAACTTTATCACCGGAGCCCAGAAGGCACTAAGAAAAAAAAAAAAAAAAGAATTCTTGCACAGAGAAAGAATCGGTGCATCTTCAGAGGCTCTCCAGACTAACAGAAAGCTTCCTCTAAATTAGAAAAAAGGGTTGCACCCAGTTGGGAAGCCTCCAGCATGTATTTTAGGAGATGGAAAATGTTTGTGGTCCAGCCCTGAGCAGCAAAGGATCCCATCCAATGAAGATACACTGGACTATTATATCCAGAGGAGGGGGGGCAGGAACTAAACCACAAAGCCATTATTTACCCAGGAGTGAACTGCACTGACCAGGTAGGCCTTACTATAGAAGAGACCAGCCAACCAGCCCTGCTGATGAAAACTTTAAAAAAGGCCACAACCACATCCTAGGTACCACCTACCACCCTTCACTAGCGAGACAATCCTGTATTCATTTAAACCAGTGTTTCTCAACCTTGGAAGCTTGAAGATGGGTGGGCTTCAACTCCCAGAATCCCCCAGCCACCTATTTTCAAGCTACCAAGGTTGAGAAACACTGCTTTAATCAATAACCCCAAGTGAAAGATATTAACTACTATTGAAATTCTGGGAGTTGAAGCCCACCCATCTTCAAGCTTCCAAGGTTGAGAAACACTGGATTAAAGGGTGAAAACTATATCTCTACTGCAGAGATGGCTTCTAATAGCTGCGATACTTAAGAAAGAGAAGAAGAACAGAAGGTTCTCTTTCCTTCCTGTTTATCATTCTGGCTGGGGGGTTTCTGGGAGTTGAAGCCCACCCATCTTTTTTTTTTTATTATTTATATGCCGCCCTTCTCCGGAGACTCAGGGCGGCTTACAATGCGCTAAGCAATAGCCTTCATCCTTTTGTATATTTATACAAAATCACCTTATTGCCCCCACAAACCGGGTCCTCAATTTACCTACCTTAGAAAGGATGGAAGGCTGAGTCAACCTTGAGCCTTGGCGAGATTCGAACCTGCAGTAATTGCAGGCAGCTGGTCTTAATAACAGGGTGCTTTAGACCACTGTACTACCAAGGCTCCTAGGCTTCAAGCTTCCAAGGTTGAGAAACACTGGATTAAAGGGTGAAAGCTAATATCTCTACTGCAGAGATGGCTTCTAATAGCCGCGATACTTAAGAAAGAGAAGAGCAAAAGAAGGTTCTCCTTCCTCCCTGTTTATCATTCTGGCTGGGGGCTTTCTGGGAGTTGAAGCCCACCCATCTTCAAGCTTCCAAGGTTGAGAAACACTGATTTAAACAGATAGGCTCCCAGTTCCAGGCCCCACCATTCCAGTGCATAGGAATTGACCATGGGCATCTTCTCCATGAGCCAGAAACTCTCTGCCACAAGGGCTCCCACACCAGTTGGGAAGGGGGTGGGGGTGTGTGGGAAGAGGGCCTTGATAGTAAAGGGGTCTAAAGCACCCTGTTATTAAGACCAGCTGCCTGCAATTACTGCAGGTTCGAATCTTGCCAGGCTCAAGGTTGACTCAGCCTTCCATCCTTTCTAAGGTAGGTAAATTGAGGACCCAGTTGTGGGGGCAATAAGCTGACTTTGTATAAATATACAAAAGGATGAAGGCTATTGCTTAACGCATTGTAAGCCGCCCTGAGTCTCCGGAAAAGGGCAGCATATAAATCAAATTAAAAAATAAATTAATTAATTAATTTTAAAAAAAAGAGAGAATTAGGTTCCAGGTGAAGGGGCTGCAACCACAAAGCACCCGCCCTGCTCTCATTTTGGGGGGGGGGATTGGGAGGAGGGGTCGCTGCAAAAAGGGAGGAAAGGAAAGGGAGGGGAGTCTCCTCTTTCTCTACAGGGTGATGGGGGTGGTGGTTGGGGAAGGCTGGGCAGGGGGGCTGCGGGGGCAACTTTCCTCCGGGACAAAGGCGAAGAAAGTTGGGAGGCAGCGGTGGGGAGGGGGAGTGGAGGAGGGAGGGAGAGAGAGAGGAGGGGGCGTCCCCTTACCTTGGTGGAGCCAGAGGAAGAAGCGATGTAGACGTTGATCACCATCCTGGAGGAGACCCAGCAAGGGCAGACAGGCCAAGCGAGCGTCGGAGGAAGGGAGGGTGGGGAGTGGGGGCGGCTGGAGAACCGGAGCAGAGCCGGGGGCGAGGTCCAGCGGGGCCAAGCGCTCCACCTCCCGAGCCTCTCGCGCGCTCTGCCTCTCTCGAGCTGCCCAGCCTTGGAAGATTCGGGCGGAGCGCCGTCTGCTAAAAAGGCGCCGTGGCAAAAGGCGGGGCGGAGGAAGCCCCCGTAAAAGGGAGCGGGGCTGCGATGCGGAGCAAACCCCGCGGATGGACTGGCTGGGAGGGAGGGAGGGATTCGCCTCGGCCAGCGCTCCAACCCCGGCCCCTTCCAAGCCGAGAGCCAAAGCCAGTCGGCCCCGCCTTTTGAGAAGATGCGCCAGGTTGCAACTCCCATTTTTCTGGAATTAGCATCCTCCCGGGAAGAGCTGGACTAAACAGAACAGGAGAACAAAGTTAGAAGGGACCTTGGAGGTCATCTAGTCCAACCCCGGCCCCTTCCAGGCTGAGAACCAAGCCAGCTGCCCTGCCAGGTTGCAACTCCCATTTTCTGGAATTAGCATCCTCCCGGGAAGAGCTGGACTAAACAGAACAGAAGAACAAAGTTAGAAGGGATCTTGGAGGTCATCTAGTCCAACCCCGGCCCCTTCCAGGCTGAGAACCAAGCCAGCTGCCCTGCCAGGTTGCAACTCCCATCTTCTGGAATTAGCATCCTCCCGGGAAGAGCTGGACTAAACAGAACAGAGAACAAAGTTAGAAGGGACCTTGGAGGTCATCTAGTCCAACCCCGGCCCCTTCCAGGCTGAGAACCGATCCCAGCTGTGTTGCCTGATCGTCAGAGCCTTTTCAAAGCGTTTTTTTAACCACCACTTCCCCGGAAGAGGTCGCAGAAAAAAATGCTTTGAAAAAGCCTCTGACGATACCAGCTGAGCCGCGTGATCATCAGAGGCTTTTTTTTTTTACTTTTTTTCTTTAAATAAATTTTTATTTGAATATAAATATTAAAAAAACATAACATAACATATACACGACAAACATTTATACAACATATAAACGAAAAGATTGTTTCCTTCATAAGCATTTTTTTAAAGTGACATTCTACTTATATTTCTTCACCTCTCCTTAATCTAATAACATTTTTTTTTAAAAAAATCGGTAATATTTCCCCCTATATTTTTTGTTTATTTCTCATTTTTTTAAAAGTAGTTTTTATTGAATATAAATATTAAAAAAGACATACGTAACATATACACAACAAACATTTATACAACATATACACAAAAAGAGTGTAATTTCTTCTTAAGCATTTTTTCAGAGTGACGTTCTACAATTCTACTTATGGTATATTCCTTCACCTCTCCTTAATCTAATAACATTTTTAATTATATATATATATATTTAAATCGGTAATATTTCCCCTATATTTTTTGTATATTTCTGATTTTTAACCAATTATACCAATTATTCCATATTTTGTAATAATCTGAGCTGCGCGAACATCAGAGGCTTTTTTTTTTTTTACTTTTAAAAGCATTTTTTTGGTGGAAGAGGTTGTAGAAAAAATGCTTTTAAAAGTAGGGGGGGGGAAGCCTCTGATGATCGCGCAGCTCAGCTGGGCATGGTGGGGGGTGGGGGTGGCACAGGGATTTTTGCTACCAGTTCTCCGAACCACCCGCCACCATCGCTACCGGTTTGGGCAATCCGGTCCGAACCAGGAGCATTTCACCCCTGGCTTCTTGGTTGTCTCCTTTGCAAGAGACCAATAAGGCACTGTTTCTCCACCTTGGCCATTTTAAGATATGTGGACTTCAACTCCCAGAATTCCACAGCCAGCATGAGTTGAAGAGCACACAACTTAAAATGGCTAAAGGTTGAGAAACACTGACTAGAGCAGAGGGCTCCAACCTTGGCAACTTTAAGACTTGTGGACTTCAACTCCCAGAATTCCTCAGCCAGCAAAGAATTCTGGGATTTGAACTCCACAAGTCTTAAAGTTGCCAAGGTTGGAGACCCCTGGACTAGAGCATCATCTGCTTCAGCCTTTTGGATCTTCAGCCTTTTGGTCAATCAGCAATTTGATGTAACCAAGAGTGGTGTGTTGTAAGCCCAGGAGACATACCTTCACTTCCTGGGGTTTTGTTTATTTCAACAAAAGGAAACCAACTTTTTCTCTCCCATCTATTTCTCTACAGCTCCGTTTGCAGAACACACAAAGTAGCCAATCCCATCACACCTTGTGCAAATCCAAGTCTGTGCATTTGTAGTTTGGGGCAGTGTTTCTCAACCTTGGCAATTTTAAGGTGTGTGCACTTCAACACCCAGCATTGAAGTCTTGCTTAAAGTTTAAACGGTGGACAAACATTGGTTTAGGATATTGCACAAAACCAGGTTGAAAAAAAACATGGTTTAGATATCAATAAAAGGGGTGTGGTGGCTCAGTGGCTAAGATGCTGAGCTCGTCGATCGAAAGGTCGGAAGTTCAGCAGTTTGAATCCCTAGTGTTGCATAACGGAGTGAGCTCCCATTACTTGTCCCAGCTTCTGCCAACCTAGCAGTTCGAAAGCAGGTAAAAAATGCAAGTAGAAAAATAGGGACCACCTTTGGTGGGAAGGTAACAGTGTTCCGTGCGCCTTTGGCATTTAATCATGCCGGCCACATGACCACGGAGATGTCTTCGGACAGCGCTGGCCCTTCGGCTTAGAAACGGAGATGAGTACTGCCCCCTAGAGTTAGGAACGACTAGCACATATGTGTGAGGGGAACCTTTACCTTTACCTTTAATGAAGTAAATGAAACCCCGGAGTAAAAATACAGAGAGGGCATTGTGGGGATTTTTAAGAATGGCTAGCAGCACCTCCAAGGATGTGCCAGCAGCCTGCTCTACCAACTCCAAGAATCAGTGGCTTCTTAACTTTTTTCTAACCTTGGTTGAACCTTTTCTTTTCTTTTCTTTTTCTTTTTTTTTTGCTTTAATTTATATGCTGCCCTTCTCCAGAGACTCAGGGCGGCTTACAATGCGTTGAGCAATAGCCTTCATACTTTTGTATATTTATACAAAGTCAGCTTATTGCCCCCACAATCCGGGTCCTCATTTTACCTACCTTAGAAAAGATGGAAGGCTGAGTCAACCTTGAGCCTGGGGAGATTTGAACTTGCAGTAATTGCAAGCAGCAGATGTTAATAACAGTGTTTAGTCCACTGTACTACAGGCTCTTATCTTCTTGATCATCAGAGTCACTTAACAGAAAAGGGAGGTGTACAAAATAGATGGGACAGACAGGTAGATAAGCAAGCTTATCTAGTCTGAGATACTCAACATTGGCAGAGGGTCTCCAGAGTTTCAGACTTTTTGGGGGGGGGATGTCACAGGCTTTTTCAACACTTTCAATGGGATCATCTATTCTGAAGGAGTTGGAATTTGAAAATGGCGGTGGAGGTCAGAGTAGTGGAGGTGTTTGGATTTCAGTGGATAAAGAAGCATGGCTGCACTTTGCAACTAAAGAGAGACCTCTGCTGGAACAGCTAGAAAATTAAAGTGACTGACTCACTTGTTTTTCAACCTTGGCAACTTAAAAAGATGTGTGTGGACTTCAAGCTCTCAAAATTCCCCAGCCAGCATGTCTGGACTAACTGGTTCCAGCAAGAAGCCCAGAATTCAATATACAATTCTTCCCCACCTTTTTTTTTGCAGGGAAGGGATATGCAAGCCACCCTAGCTCTATTTTCTTTTTTTAAATTAAAAAAACGCAGACCTCTTTAAAATATGTCAGTGCTATTTCTATAGCACTGGGGGGGTCTACAGATCTATTTACCAACTGTTTATTTAATAACATGCAACTAAGAAACTACTAGGCCAAAAGTGAACAAACCGCATCTGGGTTTATGATGATGCAGAAATTCAGCCACTCTTAAACTTTTACTTAGTTTTAAAACGTATTTACTTTTGATTTGAAACTGCCCAACAGCCCAATAAGATTTCTTCACACCTCGTTTGCAATACAACGGGAGCTGCATAGATGCTTCACCGGTTGATCTGGATTCACAGCACCTGGCTTGCTCTGAAGAAGGCCCTCTGGGATGACAGCAGCAAATAGTGGCCATGACAACTGGTGGAGCAACAATTGAACAATTGAGATGCGGGTTAACAAGGACTCGTCCATTGCTACCTTAGAAAAGATTGCGCATAAGGCTTAAATAATGAAACGCCACAGGAAGGAAAGCACAATTCTATCCCGATGTGGGTGGACTTTTGTATTTTATCTCTGTCGCCACAGACCTAGAAGGGTGGGGGGAGTGAAAAAATGAGAGGGAGTTTGACAGGCAATCTGGCTCTCTAGCCACGTGACTCATGGACCAAGGGTGCTTTTACTTCTACAAATAAACAGCATACAATATTTATTCCGTTGTGTCAAGAAGAGTTTGGTGAGAGTTAGACAAGCTGCTTCTGGGTTTAATTTGATTAGAAGAGAGTATATGGATTAGGGCAGAGTGATATTTGCAATCTGACTACATCCTTGGGGAGGAAGATAGAGATAGGTGGAGCTAAAGGCGAACTGGGTAGGGCCAGACCCCAAGGCAACCACACATCTTCCTTAGTGAAGTGTGCAAACCAGTGTTTGCATTTCCTGCCTCGGATGAGGAGAGCACATTTTTCTCCTTCTGAAGCGTCTTAACAAATTGCATCACTGTCTGATTTGGTGGCAGCAGTGCCTCAGATAGAAAGTCCACACAGAGAGTGGTAAGGACAGCAGAGATGATCATAGGAAGCTCACTTCCTGGTATTCAGGATACTGCTCGTAAACGCTAAGTGCTTAGAACTCAAAGCATTATTAGAGACCCCACACACCCATGTCATGGTCTGTTTCTGTTGCTTCCCTCTGGGAGGTGGTTTTGAAGTATTTCTAGCAGGACCACCTGATTCTGTAACAGCTTTGTTCCCTATGCCATCCATCTGGTAAACTGGCAAGATTTGTTTTTCTTGCTATGACAGTGTTGTTTCTCTGTGTCATATATGTAGGTATATGCATAATTCTGTATTTTATTTATGTACCGTGTTTCCTTGAAAATAAGACCCTGTCTTATATTTTTTTGAACCCTGAAATAAGTGCTTGGCCTTATTGCCATGCGCTCAAAAGCCTGATTGGGCTTATTATCAGGGGATGTCTTATTTTGGGGAAAACAGGGTAGTATATATTGGAGGTGATGACCCTTGGAGAGCTGTATGCAACAAAATTTCATTTTAATGTATGCCAATTAGTGTACATTCAAAGTGACAATAAAGTTATTATTCTATTATTCTAACCACACCCAGATGCAAGTCAATCCACAGAAAACCACCCCAGCTTCATAGAGCTTGTTAAGGAATTCGCAAAGTAACCCTTGCAAGGGTGTGCACATGAAAGCGATTGAGAGTAGTTACGAATAAACACAGCCAACACACAGATACACTGAGTTGTGTTTACTTTCAGGAAATAGGAAGGCACAGTCCAATAAACAGTCCAGGTCATACATATATAAAGCAGGAGATAGCAAAACGATAGTCCAGGGATAATCCAATAACAAAGTCTTCTTACCAGTCGTCGTAGTCATTCACAATAAACAGTTCTTCTGGATTTGCAAACAGTAGCATACAGAGATATCAGAGAGCAAGAACAGCAAAGAGAAACAAACCATGTTTCTAGCTCCCTCTTAAGGACATTGGCTACAGAGCTAACCAATCAGGACACAGTATGATGCAATACAGCAGGTTTTTTTTTTTTTTAATTTGATTTATATGCCGCCCTTCTCCGGAGACTCAGGGCGGCTTACAGTGCGTTGAGCAATAGCCTTCATCCTTTTGTATATTTATACAAAGTCAGCTTATTGCCCCCACAAACTGGGTCCTCATTTCACCTACCTTAGAAAGGATGGAAGGCTGAGTCAACCTTGAGCCTTGGAGAGATTCGAACCAGCAGTAAATTGCAGGCAGCTGTGTTAATAACAGGGTGCTTTAAACCACTGTAGTACCAAGGCTCTAGTTTTAAAGCTATATTGAGGGTTTATATATTGCCAATCCAACAAGTTAGGTAATAGTCATTTCCTAACAGAGCTGTTTTGTTCATCCCTTCACCCCTACAAAGTGACATGCCCTTGTTGCATGTCCTTCTTAACAATGCCTGTTCCTTCACTGTTCTCTCCATCAAGCCAGCCAACACTCTGTTCTTCTCTTTCCACCAAAAAACAGCTGGGCATTCAGGGAAAATCCACTAACATCTATCAGACTACAACTGAAAAGTTCAGCCCTGGCAGGGAAGAGGGGGGAAAAGCTTGTCAACTGCTACCTAACTCCCACGAGAAAATTAGAAGCAGCCTAGTTTGCTCAAGAAAGCCTCTTTTACCCTCAAAAAAAGAGAAGGAACTGGCTTTGCAAGATAACAGGTGACCAAAAGGGCTGCTCCCGGAATCATTGTTATGCTGCAAATCCCAAAGGTGCTTTTTTTTTTTTCAGGAGGCAACTGGACTTTCTTGGTTTTTTTTCTTTGAAGATGTTTCGCTTCTCATCCAAGAAGCTTCTTCAGCTCTGAAGTCTTCAGTCTTCAAAGAAAAAACAAGACAGTCCAGTTGCCTCCTGAAAAAAAAAAGCACCTTTGGGACAACCACGACCTGGAAGACTTGAGAATCTCTACAGACTTTTCGCTATACAATGTGAGATGAACCAGTGGTGAAATTCAAATTTTTAACCTACCGGTTCTGTGGGAGTGGTGTGTCTTAGTGGGCGTGGCTGGGGAAGGATACTGCAAAATCCCCATTCCCTCCCCACTCCTGGGGGAAGGATATTGCAAAATCCCCATTCCCCCACTCCTGGGGGAAGGATATTGCAAAATCTCCATTCCCACCCCACTCTGGGGCCCGCCAGAGGTGGTATTTGCTGGTTCTCCGAACTACCGGTTCTCCAGAACCTGTTAGAACCTGCTGGATTTCACCCCTAAGATGAACATCCTTTGAGAGGTGTGGGAGTAAGAATGGTTTCCAGAGAAAAAAATTGCAGAGTACAGAACCGGGAGCACTACTCAGGCGATCCTGAGGACACAGATAAACCTCCAAGTGCTTCAAGGACCCTCTAAAAGGGTGCAAATGACCAGCTGTCTGCAAAGAACATAAATCCTTCCATTCCCCACCATCCAGTCAGAGCTGAAGAAGCTCCTTGGATGAGAAGCGAAACGTCTTCAAAGAACAAACAAGAAAGTCCAGTTGCCTCCTGAAAAAAAGCACTTTTGGGACAACCAGGACCTGGAGGACTGAGAATCTCTACAGACTTTTATGCTGCGAATGTTTGAAGAGGGCCATTAAACACATTACCCTCATTTGTGACAACAAAGGAAAAAACAAGGGTGCTCTACCATGGAGATGATAATTTGGTCAGCTGAATAGGTTCTGCTTCCATTCAGTTCAAAGTCTCTAAATTAAGTGGTGGTGAAGAGCAAGGTATTCACTGCTTGCATTTGTTTTGTTTTAAAGCAAGATGTTTTGTAGCCAGAACTTGGATGAATATATAGGATGAATGAAACGAGAGGACATACAAGTATTTTCACCACTCCCATGCTTCAATTACTGTGCTTTTTTTAATGCATTGTTTATTTAAGGCATTTAGACCTTATTCACCACCTGAAAAGACTCCTAGTGCAGCTTTTGTAAAAATTAATACAAATAAGACTGTCTCTACCTGAAGGTTTCCCATCTATGAAACACGATAAAATAGGAAAAAAGGAATGAGGAACAGAAAAACAAGGAAACCCAAGACCAACATTGTTAAAGTCTTCTTTTGAAAGCAGAGAACAAATTCCTTACCTTTTCTTTCCCTGCCCATTTTAAAAACCTAAGTACCAATATGTAGTGAAATAACTCCAAAACGAAAACATCGTATTAAAGTTTATCATGAGATAAAACAAATGTAATAAAAAATGAAAGTTAGAGAAGTGCAGAAAGACAAAAATGGTGAATGTTGACTTTTTTCCCCAATGCAGTAGAGTAGAAAAATACTTACAACCTCAACCTTTTGCTTTACATTTCTAAACTTAAAATAGAACACATTAAACATATTAGAAACACTGGATATGATCCTTAAAGAGTTGTTTCTTTCAAACACCTTAGAGGCCTTTTTTCCCCCTTTCAGGATCACATTATATCACTTCTATCACTCTCATAATCACCTCATTAACCTTTCAGGCGTAATAAGCAAGTTTTATGCCAAGCACCCATATAACAAACTGAATCAATTCAGAATATATCCTAGCAAAAGACAGGCTGTTCCATGTATTTTGATTGAAAACAATATTTGTCCAAGCCCAATTCTGCTTTATCCACTGCATGTATTGATTTCAGGTCTGCTGGCAGTTGTATCTTCAGAACAAAGATTCGGGGAAACCTCAAAAATATTACCATATACAGGTGGTAACTCCTGCCTATGTACAAACTCCACGAGAACTTGAAAATAAAGGTGTAGAGCAGTGATGGCTAACCTTTTTGCCATCGTGTGCCAGGAGAGGGGAGAGCGCGGGGGGTGCGTGCCCACACCCATAATTCTATGCACCCTGCCCCCGCGCATGTGCGCACAACCCCACCCTCTCCCTGCTCCTGGTACGCGATGGCCCGGTAGGCCTGTTTTTGTCTCTCCCCAAGCTCTGGGGAGAGCAAAAAATGGGCCTTCTGGTCCCACTGGAAGTTGGCAACGGGCCGTTTCTGGCCTCCGGAGGGCCTCCGGGGGGGGGGGTAGGGAAGGCCGTTTTCACCCTCCCCAGACTCCTAGAAAGGCTCTGGAGCCTGAGGAGAGAGAAAAACGGGCCTTCCCCACCACTCCCCGAGGCCCTCCGGAGGCAGGAAACAGCCTGTTTCCCTACTTCTGGTGTGTCCCAGGAGGCCCAAAAATCAACTGTCCGGTGCGCACATGTGCACTGGAGCTGAGCTCGCGTGCCCACCGATATGGCTACACGTGCCACCTGTGGCACGCGTGCCATAAGTTCGCCATCACAGGTGTAGAGTAATAGGTAAAGCCACTATGTTAAAGAAAGACCAATTCAAAGAGAAGTAAGGCAGGGGTGCATCTTGGCTCACAGGCTCTTCAATGTGT